GTGGGTACTGGGACTGAATCCCATTCTTCTAGAAGGGCATCAAGTGCTCTTAACCACAGAACCATCTCTCCAGGTCCTAGAAACAAAACAACAGTAACAACTAGAAGCCAGAAGATGACAGCAGTATTTAGTGTAGACAAGGCTATGATGTTGCTAAATTGTCAATAGTTCTAGCTGGTTCTCCACAAATTATTCCAGCCAAATGTTAATAATTGAGAAACTGTGAGCGACATTGAATTTTCCTCTGTCTGAAACATAAATGCATACCTATTCTCCCTCCAATTTCCACAAAATTTTGTGTTGAAGCAGGGAAAATGAACTTTGGTTTTGTTTGTGGTAAATTAGTTTCACTTTGTATGCCAGACTGGCCTGGAACTGGAGATCTTCCTGTCTCAGCCTCTGGATACAATGTGTGGATTTAAAATGAACTTTTTGTGTCAGCATGTTGGTGTGTGTGCATGTTCGTGTGCATGCAGATACATGTGTGTTAAAATGAACCTCTAAAGTCTACTCCGTGTCATGGGCCAAATAACATGGATGGGAGGAGGGTACAGAGAGGATAAAGTGAGACAATGTAGAAGCAATGTCTGGAGCAAGGCAGGGGTTTCATCAGCATTACTTGGTTTTCACAATGATGTACAAAGACTAAATTATAGACCCCAAAAGGTGCGGAAAGGACTCAGAGCAACTGTAAGCAAGCCCCTTCACTGCATAGCTGAAGGAATAATTGTGACTATAGAGGTTAGCCTTGTCAGAGTCCTTGACCTCGTGTCTGAGTTTCTAGCTTTAGTGGTGAAGCAAAATTTAAATGCATGCACAGGAGAGAAACTGCAAGCCAACTCTTGAAAAGAAATGATTACCCCTTTTGGTTTGGATTATGAATACAATTTGTAGGTATGCAAAATTAAAAGAAATAGTTAGAATCCTAACAGAACATTAATTCAATTGAGTAATGTTACCAGAAGTTTCACAGGGTTTATTTTAAAAATACATTTCTGGCATTTATGCAAAACAGGCAAATGTATTAAATGCAAAGTTAAACAAATAATACATTCTTTCTACTGTAGGAGATCTAGTCAGAATCCAGAACTATTTAATAGTTTGTCATAAAACACTCAAATATCAACAGGCTTTCTGGCAAATAGGTTAAAATGTTAACGACCTAGTAGTGAGTCAGCTCTTCCTGGTGATGCCTAAGAGAGACAAGCAAATTCCTTAGCCAAACTTAACTTAGACGAATCATCAGATCTGACATTTTAGATTCTAACATGCTATGGAGTTTTTAAGACCAGTATCTCTATATTGTTACGTGTGTGTGTGTGTGTGTGTGTGTGTGTGTGTGTGTGCTCGTGCGCATGCGCGCGCGTACTTGGAGGTCAGTGGAGAATTTGTGGGTTCAGTTCTTTCCTTCCACCATGTGCATTCTGGGAGTGAATTCAGGTTGTCAGTCTTGGTGGCAAGTACCTTCACTCACTGATCTAGCTCACTGGTACACTATGCTTTTTATACCAACACCCATATAATCAAAACTTAAACAAATTATGGCAAATAAATGAAAACATTTATATTTAACAATGTTTTAACATATATGGGCTTTATTAGGTGTTCCATGTATAGTCATCTGGTATGTTTAAAGAGTGAGCAATCATATAAAAGGAAATATGGTCATACGTGATTGAAGTAATAAAATCCCCAAACTAAATAACATCTCATAATTCATGGCAAAGCATATATTAGATTTCATTACATCAGTATATAGCTTAGCAGTAAATTCTCCTGACGGCCATAAACCTGCAAGGTGTTGTCATCCTGAAAAATGAAGGAAAGGGAGTTGGTGAGGGTACAAAATGGATAAATCTTCCCCAGAGCGGTGTTCCTTGAAGTTCCAAAGTTGTAGTGCATCGCCCTCTAGTGGCAGAATTTGAGTTTTTGCAAGAAAGGCATCCAGGCTTTCTAAAGAAAGGGCTGTCTGATGCATCTCACATACTCACCTGAGGCTGGACTCTGAAAGAACCCCGACACACACACACACGCACACACGCACGCACGCACGCACGCACGCACGCGCACACCCACATGCACAATGTGACCCGCTTTGCTCTTCATCTGCCAGGTTGCCAAGGATCTTCGTGTGAGTTTTTATGTCCACTTAATCTTTTAATTCCATGTATTATGGCTATTTTCAAAACCACTCAACACACTTCTATTAGAAAACAAAACAAACAAAAACCTGGGTTGTGACTTTGGAAGGATTCTTATAGCTATAGCTTTTGGACTTTGGATGAGTTTTTATTCTACTTTTGATTTTTTAGCAGGTTAGAATTAATGCAGAGCTACAGGAGTCCTTGCATAGACACATAGAACCATTACCACCTACACTTTAGATTTTACGAGTCTAGAACTTCAACACTGGCATCGGGATTGTTAGTAAAGATTCCTTATTGGACATATGGTGCCACACACAAAGACTATCTATTGTTAAATATCTGTATGAAGTATGGAATCAGGCCAGCATCAGCATTTGAGGTATGAGGTCCCAGCATGCCTTACTCTACTTCCCACATTTTGGCGACAGGAAGGGTGAGTGACACAGCTCTGCTTTAGACATACTTTCAGAGTTCAGTAATATAAAATAAAAACAACATAGACCACATCTCAGTGACAAATAAATCTTCCTTCAAGATTTAGGAAGGCCATATATTCCAAGCCAAGACCAAATGGGGCAAAGCAAACTGTCAGGATGTCACACGTTTGAAGTCCTAGAACACTCTCCGCCTAAAAAGCAAAACCTGGAAGCAGATAGGTTCCATCCTCACAAAAGCCATTACACAAACACACTTCCTCCTCTCCCCTCTTATGCAATAGAAACTTCATTCAAGGTCAGGTATTCAAGGGGAATGATGGAAGAGGAAGTGAGTGACCCTAGGAGAAGAGAGCCCCTGGGGCCTCAGTTATCAGGTTTCAGTTAGTTTTGATGGGATTTGGTGTTTCCCCAAGTAATTCTGTGCTATAAGGCCTTGACATGTAATACAGCGAGGACATCTTTACAATGCTGTAAAATATGTTCTATCATTAGCCTTAGAGTTGAGCCAACTGATGCAGAGGTTGGTTTTCCTAAACATATGGAGGAAGTGAAAGGATTCAGGCTTATGTGGTCCAACCCAGAATCAGCTTAGCGTGACTTGGTTTCAGATTTCCCACAGTGACTTGCACACAGGACAGCTCTCGATAACACAAAGGCTCTCTTCTTCCAACAGCAGTATTGCACTGGTCTCTTCACAAGTTCTTCCCATCTACTTCGTCTCTCCAGTGATCTAAATTCTGGTCCTGCTTATTTTCACAACACTGAAGACATCAAGCCAGTTGTGGTGGGACACAGCTTTATTCTCAGCACTTGGGAGGCAGAGGGAGAAGAATCTCCACATAGTGAGTTGAAGGCCAGCCAGAGCAGTGCAGGGAGACCATCTCAAAACAAAACAAAGCCCAAACAGCAGCAGTAAGTGTGTTCTCTGGTTTTCAAGAAACTCGTCTATATTTACTCCCATTTAGAACTCAGTAGCCAAGTGATGTAGGCTGGTAGTTTGGTTTTGGAAGTCAGATCAGAGGTTACCCCATTGTTTTGCCACATTTTTATCCATGAACAGATGGCTAGGCTGGAACCTCCCCTTCCTGTTAAGTCAAAACCTCATCTGTGAAGACCACCTCTTAGTTATTACCTTTAGTTTTGTTATAATAGCTTAAATGTTAATGTTGTTAAAGAATTACTTTTACTATAAGCAAAATCATTTTTAGGAAGGCTTCAGCTCATTGGAGGAGTGACAAGAATAAATTTCAGGATGGGTTTCAAAGCACAATCAAGGATCAGAGGAAAGTTTTCCTGGAAAATGAGCTTTCTAATCTCTTAAGATATTTAGTATTTTTTTAATATTTTAATATATTCTTGGTTGTTGCACTGTGTAACCCAGGCTAATCTCAAACTAAACAGCCAGCCATCTGTTTCCCAAGTGACGGGATTCCAAGACTATGCTACCATGCCTAGCACAACTGGCCTTAAAATGCTTGTCGTAAAGACCAATTAAGTCTTTTTTCCAACATTTGTGTGCATGAAGAAAACTACATATGTACCTGCACGTTTTTATCAGTTTATGAATTTTAAACGTAAAACTTTCTACCATCTGAAGCTCTTGCTGCACAGTAGGTATTCCTCTTCCTGCCCTGCCCACTATAGTTTCAATGCTTAGTTCTTCCAAAGAACCTCAAAATTCAGCAGGAATGACCAATTTGTACCTTTACAATACCTTTACATTTTGATCTGAAAACTCTTTGCTGATTAGTACCTAAGTTTGTGGAGTTTTGGTGTTCTTGAGACAGGTTTATGTGGCCCTGGCTGTCCCAGAACTCACTATGTACACCAGGCCTGCCTGTGTCCTGAGTACTAGGCATTCACACTAGTGCTCAGCTCAGTACCCAGTTCTCAAAGCAGCATGCAAAAGAAAGGGTAATTTGTGTTTTCTCCTCCTGTTTTGCTAATGACTTATTTTTTACCTTTCTAAACTACACATTGGTCAGTACAGGGTCATGTGCATCTGTACACATGCACAGAAGTTATATAAGCTGGGATTGGTTACAAAGCAGTGTTGGCAGAGGCTCTGTCCTAAGCCTGGTCACCAGGTGTAAGCCTTCCCTTCTTTCCATTGGTTACTTTGGAAGCTGAAGGCCCATCTGTTCAGTGCTGTTTGCATCTCCCCTCATCTCACATCTGTAGTTTAGGCCTTGCTATGACTTCCCAATGTCTCACTAGTCACAAAGGGAATCTAAAGCTGACTAATTGGCTTGTATAACATGCTGTTATCTAACCAGTGAAGAGATGATAAGTCAGCCCCTCTCGTCTCCAAGCAATTAAGCAGCAACTAAAAATGTCTTAGCAGTCTGGAAAAAATCTGTCAGAACAGGGAATTCAGTAATTATCTGAGTTAGAGTTTGAATTCAGACAGTCCAACAATGGTTATAATAGGCATTTATTTAAAATTACTTGCAGAGAAAATAATTCTTAAATTGTGATTCAGGTTGAACCAACTTCATAAAAATATGCTGGACCAGGCACATCAGGATCTCGAGTAAAAAAAAGATCACCTCTTCGCCCATTTTTCTCTCTTCTTCCCAAATAACTTCTCAGAGAGGATTCAAGGGAGAATTTGTCCTAAAGAATGGAGAAGAAAATAACAGGTCATAAACCACAAATGAAACCTACTGCAAGGAATTACCTTTTGCTCGTAACTTAAGAAAACACACTCCAAGCTCCTGAAGTGCTTTTTAAACACAAAGCCTCATGAGGATCACACAGCATAGGGTAGGAAGAGTACCAGGGAAGAAGCAAAGCCCATAGGCTTGTCTGCTGCCAATGAGGTCCAAGGACAGGGTTCAAACCATTCCAGGAGCAGGAAGATCACTCAGTGGACTTCACAGAAATAAATCTTATTAGAGTAGGAACCAGAGTACAGGGAAATAATAGCAACCCACGAGGCAGACTCCTGGATTCTAGCTCAGGTCTTCCATACTAGCATAGCTTAGTGACTTTAGAAGTCACTGCAGCTCCAAGTTTCACCATGTTATTCTTTAATATAGAACCTACAGTTAGTTTTCTGCTAACCTCATTTTGCTGCTGAAATGCTATTTATGTGGTGTGACTTGGAGAACACAAATGTACTGCCCCAGTGAGTGTGTTTCTCTGCTTCTGAAACTGCATCCTGAGTATCAGATTGATAGACATATGAAACCTCTTCTAACTCCTCATACTTCGTCCACTGCTCCTTAGGCAAGATCTGATGCTTCACAGTCATGTCCAGGGCTCTCTCAATGCTAAAGAGTCTGCTGTTTAGGTCAGGAAGCCTTCTGATGGCTTCTTTCACATCTTCAGTTCAGATGTTGTATCATTACACATTAACCCTGTGAAAGGAACAGATGAACCAGATTAAAGAGCTATGTCAAAACAGTGTCTGCTTTTTTTGTTTTTATGGTTTTTCATTTTTTGTTTGTTGTTTTTGTTTTTTGAGACAGGGTTTCACCATGTATCCCTGGCTAGTCTTGAACTCACAGAAATTCGTTTGTTCCCCCAAGCCACCCCCAGCCCCAGTCTCTCAAGTGCTTTGAAATTACCATCTTCTTGCCTCTGCAAGAAGGTAGGAGTTTTTCACCCGTGCATGCACATGCACGCTACGCTTGTGCTACTGTGTCAGCTTGGGTTCTGAACTCGGGCATCAGTTCTGATGTGTGACTCACTGAGCCATCATCCCTACCCAGGATTTTGCTTTTCTAATAAGCAAAATATCTTTATGACGTATAACTCAAGACCTGATATAGCACCAAGTGTTCAAATCATTAGGTAAGGTGGAAACCAAAAGCATCTCACAGCCCAGTTATTTCTTGAAGCCATATATGGGCCCTTTAAAACCTCTATGATGAAATTACTATTTCATATGAACCAGTTCAGAAAATACTTAAAATATCTATCTTGTCCTTGAAAACACGAGTGGGCCTTTAATCCCAGTATTCAGGAGGCAGAGGCAGGCGGATCTCTGTGAGTTTGAGGCCAGCCTGATCTACAGAACGAATACCAGGACAGCCAAGGCTACACAGAGAAACCCTGCCTCAAAAACCAAAAGAAAAGAAAAAGAAAACATGAGTGGGCCACATCTCTTCTAATCTGAGATCAAGGTATTAAGTGATTAAGTGACTAGAACGGCTAGGCAGGAGAAGGCACTTGCTGTACAACAATCTAACAACCCAAGTTGGATGCCTGGGCCCCAGGGAAGGACTCCCAGAAGCCCTTCTCTGACCTCCCCAAGCACAGCCTGGTACACATGGAAATGGTAAAATATTTTTAAAAAGATGTGAAGAACTTAAACTTAAGGACCTGAGAACTCCAGGACCACAAAGTGAAGTTTATGGCCAGTTAGGAAGCTCACAAATCACATACAGATATGACAACAAATACCGAGGACTTCAGCTGCTTCTCAAAAGAACACAAACTTAACAATAAAGCAGTTTAACTTTAAACATGATACACAAAAACACAAAATAAAACATCTTTTTCAAACTACGAGAATTCTTTAAAGTACTGCATTGGGAAGAACTGACGAGGAAACAGATACTCACCCCATCTGTTGTTCATTAGATCCTGCAGTATTATAACACCGTTTTCCAAAACGACCCAGCCACTTGCTTGACACTGCATCTGTAATTATCACAGATACCAGTTACTACAATCCACTTCTATTGTGTGAATGTATCCATAGGCAATAGCTGGTACTCTTATAAACCTAAGAAGGAATTTCCCTTTGTATACAATGTAAATAATCATTTCACCTATGATGTCATGGGAGAAAATGGTGAGCGCAAAACAAGTGCCTAATATTCACAAGTGTACTCCCTATCACTTACATCACCTGCTACCATCAGAACTGAAAGGACAGGGGACAGGAAAGGGACTTAGAACATTTCTGTCATTTGTAATTGCAGAAACAAATTTTTGTTTTCAAAGTGAGGGGAGCTGAGAGAGCAGGTTAGGAGGCAAACTTGTCCTATTCTCCAAAATTTTTAGTCTACATAATCTTCACTAGACTATATATATACTTATTTCTGGAAAAATATTTATAGCATCAGTTAATCGCTGAAATATGAATAGATTAATAAAAGAAGCCTATTTTCCTCCTCCCAAGCAGCTAACTATCCATCAAAGGAATAGGTTTTTGAACACAGATGAGAAAAACTACTCTGTGTTAAAAGTCCTATGTAAGAGAGCATGGCTGTAATCTCAGCACTCAAGAAGCTGACCCAGTAAGAGTGTGAATTCTAGACCTTGTCTAAACAAACAATAATAATAAAATAAGGGATGGGAATGCAGCTCAGCCTTAAAGCTCATGCCTCGCATGCAAAAACAAAACAAATACACCTCACGAGACTTTGGGGAACAAGGCTGAGCCAAGGAGGGATACGCTAGAAGAGGCCAAGGCAGTAGGACAGTGTCTAGTGTTGACAGGGCAGATGTGGTACAGGCAAGGAGGTGGGGCCAAACCTAACCTTTCTTTTTAAAATGTGAGGGGCAAGGAAAGAGCAGATGTGATTGTCAGAGGACATATAGTCCCTTTTCATTTGCTTTCTTTTCTTTTTTTTTTTTTTTTTTTTTTTTTTTTTTTTTTTTTTTTTTGTTGAGATGGCATTTCTCACTGGCCTGGAACCTGATAGGTCCTCGAAGCCACTGGGCCTCAGGGATCCACCTGTCTCCACCACTCTGGCACTGGGATTAAAAGCATGTACTAGGACTGCAGGTTTCTTTTTTCCTTTTAGATTTTGAGGCAAGCTCCCTTCTCAATTAGCTCCCTCTAACTTCCTACTCCCTAGTACAGATTACTACATGGCTTCTTCCAACCTTAGAAATTGTCATGTATGAAATTGTTACTATAAGAAAATAGGTAAGGGCTACTGATGGAACTCCATTGGTATGGTGCCTGCCTAGCACACACAAAAGCCAGAGTTCCATCTCCAGCACCACATAAAATGAGTGTGGTGTTGCACACCTGCAATTCCAGCATTCTTGGGGAGGGGGGGCAAAAGGATCAGAAGTTCAAGGTCATCCTTCAACACAAAGTCAGTACAAAACTTAGTTTGGACTACAAGATACCCTGACTCAAAAAATAAGAATACAGAGATGGCTCAGCCGTTAAAGGATAGGCTCACAACCAAAAATATAAGAATACAAATATGAAAGAGTTAAAAAAAAAAACCCAAACCGAAAAACAAATGTGTAGAAGACAAACTGTAAACATAATGAGCAATGATTATGATAACGATTAATAGTCATTTAACACTTAGAGAAGAGTTTCTGCACCCCCATAAGCCTCTCCGCCGATGCAGCAATCCAAATCAGACCAAATCAAACCAAATTAGAAAAAGCCAGTGTTTAATGGATACAATGCTCCCAGAAGGCTTTCCAGCCCTCCAGAGAGGAGACAGGAAACAGGCTGAAAACCCAGGGCCCTATTTTCTGGGAGGCAGTTTAAATACCCTGTGGGAGTGGTGTTGAGCATCTCTGCGGGAGGGGTCATCATTTGGTGAGCTTTCTGAGATGCAGCAGGGTTTGGAGGGAGATAGGGGAAGGGAGCTTTGTTGGAACCTCCACCTTAACATTCCAGACTCTCTGGATATACGGATGCCAGGGTCTGGGCTGAAGCTTCCACCATAACACTTAGAATGTGCCAGACACCACTCTGTTCACCCTTTCCATATTTGCTGTCTTAAAAGCCTATTCCAGAAAAGGAAGCAGGCTTATGAAAGGGAGCCAATCCTAGCTCTATTGAAATCAAGTCTCTAATACCAAACAAAAACACCGAAGCAGAATCCCTTAAATTTAGCAACGTTCCTTAAAAATTTGTCAAGTGGGTGAAATTAATGATTCACAATCTCTGGGGACTAGTATTATTTTTAAAAGGCGATTCCAACTTATACCACCAGAGGGCATAAATTAGCTTTAAAAATCAGGGGACGGGGATAGATTACTACTTGAAGCGAACTTTGTTTAAAATATTCTGGCATTCTATTCCGTGACAAATTTGTTCTAGTGCAAGCAGTAAATGAAAATCCTCCCGGCTCCGCAGCTCCAGCCAAC